GGGTGATGCTAGGCTTAGTTGTTAGATAAATTTATGTAATTACAATAGTAGTTTCAAAAATCTTAATAAAGCACTAGTGTAACTGCTTAAAAAAAAAAATAATAATAATAATAATAATAATATAATAATGATAATAATAACTAATAATAATAATAAAATAATAATAAATTGTTCTATAACAATACTATTAAGCTATTTGTTACCATTTGAATTTATTATGTTCTCTTTAATAATTTTTTTTGTTACATTCAACTGGTTAAAATTTTTTTGTTTATAGGTTTGGTACAAGATTATATCTTGGTTGTTGATATCTATATATCTCGATTTTTATTTGAATTAATAATTTTGATCAATATTTCTTGATTATCAACTTGAGGATCATTATTATAGACAATTATTTTATGAATATTACAAGAACAATCTAAGTTTTCAATTGCAGAATAAAGGTTTTTTGGTAAATCAGCAAAGCATTCTTTTCTTTGACTTTCAACAAGAGATAAAATCTTTGATAAATTATTTTAAATAAATGTTAATTAAAATTAAATTACTATTATTAAGCAAAATAATTTTTTTACCTTTTTAAAAAATCCTAATTCTATAGAATTGTACATTTTAATTAAATGTTTACATATATAAAAACATTTAAAAAAAAATAATACATGAGCATATCCATTGTGATAAATTTGTAATATAATTGATATTTAGATTTATTATATAAGTAGTCAAATTTTTTTATTCCAATTGAAGTTTTTTATGTCATTTAGATATGAATTTATTATTATATAGTAACTGCAATAGTTAATTTGACCTGAAATAATCTTTGTTACTATAATATAAATTATTATTATTTTTTTTTTAGTTTTATTAAAACTATTTGTTATTAGTGACTACTGCCTTTATTGTAATTTAATTATAGTTACATAACTTGCACAAGATAAGTGTACAACTAGTTATATATATAGCTTTTGGCTATTTATTTAAATAGTTCAACTACAGATTCTACACTAGTTGCTATATCTGTAATCTGTTAGAAGATTATCTAATTAAATACTCTAATCTTTATACTACACCTAACAAATAACATACTAAATTTTTGTATATCTAAGTATTATTTAATCTAACATTAACTTTTATGTTTGTATGTCTATGAAGTTATTACAAATTCCAAAATACATCATCTAACTATAGAACTTCAATGGTCTTTTCTGTTAATTAATTACATATATTTAATTCTTGTTAATAGGATTTGTCTTTGCAAAGTTCATCTAACCCTTAGTATTAACTTTATAAAATATCTCTAGTATTTATAATATATCTTTGCTTTTGTTATTAGACATCTTATTTAGATAGTTCAAAAAAACTGTACCTATTTCTGATATACTAAGGATATAATATCTAATATTTTTTTTCTTTGGTTTGAAACTTCTAATGAACTAGTTAATAGTACCTCTCATCTAAGGTTTTTATCTGCCTAATTTCTTTACATTAATATTTGTTTTTTAGATTTAGTTTTTACAGTAATATTGTTAAAAATTTGTGTTATCTTACTACTTAGAATTTTTTAAATAGGTTTTAGCTTTTCAGTTTTATATATTTATATAATTATAAGAACTTATCTTAAGTTTGTACTATCTATTTTTGGTTTGTATTCTTTTGTGTAATTAGTTATATAAATATCTCATAATCTGTCAGTTATACTAATATAATTATAGTTACAGATATTTTATCTTAACTAATTAACAGAATGTTATCACTATAATACCATCTATATATTATATAAATGTTTATTTAAATTTTCACTATAAGTAAATTTTAAACTTACAACCTATTACTTAGAGGATTACCAACTTATTTATTTTACTAAGTTATCATATTTATAATATAAATTATTAAATCTAATTATATATAATTGAAAATCAAAAGAAAATTATACTTTAAAATATACTAGTGACTTTCAATAGTTATTATAGTTTACAAAATATTAAGTTGAAAACTTGATATATGAACCTATAACTTCTATGCTTTAGAGTAGTATTACTTAGACCATAAATAGGCCCAAACATGTTTAAAGTTATTTTAATAAGTATAAGATATTAGGCAGATGACAAAAAATAACAGGAAAATTTTTTTTGTTGGAGTTAATATCACTCCATGTGCTGCTATGCAGCATATGAGTAAAATTGATTAACTTTAATGAAAAATTTTCCTGTTATTTGTCATATATATGCCTAATATTAATGTTATCCAATAGATAATATGACCATGTGAAGTTTTTTTCATGATATTTTGCAAAACTGATTACATAATTTCATGCAAGAAATATCATGGCAAAAAATTTTATGTAATTATATAAAATGTCAGATAACAATAAATATATTGTTTTTTAATGCTTTTAATTCAAATTTAGTTTATATTTAAAAGATTTAATAGGCATTTTATAAATATTATAGAATGTCATAAAAAAAAATGAACTTAAACAAGCTAAGAATTTTTTTATCAAATTTTTTTACAAAAAACTTTATTTTTTTTATTTAGTAATTATTACTGATTTGTATAATCAATTATTGCTTAACTTTGTCTAACTAGTTATTATATAAAATTAATAATTAAATAAAGCAAATGCATATTATAAAAATTATAATAATAGTGAATAATTCTAGTTCTTGTAAGTTTTTTTTTAATTACACAAATTATATGCCACTTTACTAAGTTATCATATTATGTATTTATTTATTTTAGTTGTATTTATTAATTAAAAGTATTAAAAAACTATTAATGGTTAAAAAAAACATATCAAATTTATAATATAAATTAATTAAAATCAATTCTTAATATAGCACAAAATAAAATTCTATTTTTAAAATATGTAGTTAGACTATAAAATTGCAAACAGTATTAAATAATATTATTTTAACTGAATTAGATTCATAATTGTATATTCTTAATAAAGATAAATAAGATAAAATAAAACTTGTAATTGAAATTTTAAAAATATTTAAAAATAATCAGTAAACTTGTTTTATAATATAATTTAGTTTTATATTAAATTTTTTTTGATACTAAGATAAGGCCTTGCTTATATCTTTATTAATAATTTTAACAGTATATTTTAGTATAAAAATATTAAAATAAACTAAAATTATATATAACAAAATAAAAATTATATATAAGAATAAGAGCTTAAACTAGTTTATCTACAATCTAAACTAAATTAGTTTTATATATATATATATATTTGATATTAAAGTAACCTCTTTGGTCTTTTAACTTTTATTAATAACTTATTAGTAATATAATTCTATGAACTATTACAGAAGAGAGTAAAATTGGCTATATATGTAACTTTTCTATATTATCTATTTAAGGAATCTGCCTAAAGGTTTTTTACTAATTGCTATATCTAATACTTCTGCTTAGATGTTTTATTTTAAACTTTCTGAATCTGTATTAACTCACTAAATCATACTTAGATGTTCAAATTATTATCTTAATCTTAGAACTAATTTATCTTTAAGGTAAACCTCTAAAGCTTTCTGTATCCATTTTTACAACTAACCTAGATATTGCTATAGCAGAACCAACACTTGTGATTAGAGTTATATTATTTACTACTATGTTCTTGTAGAGTTTACACAAATTCCAGCATCTATTTCATAGCATAATTCTAGTACTTTAGTATACTCCTGTCTTTTTACTTGTCTTTTTACCAAGCTTTCAATTCAGATAGTCTGTATAGAACTATAACCAGTCTATTGGTATATTAGGTCAGTCTAATATTCTTTTTTTCTGATTTATTTCAGTGATCTGATTAGTAGTTCTTCAAGACTTTCAATTCAGAGGTTCTTGCCTGTTTAGCTATTATAACTAGCTATTATAACCTTGATATCTGTTTCTTTATACTAGCTTTTACAATAAGACTGTCAAAGATTTGGCTACCTCTCTACTTAAGCCTTTTTAAATAGACTTTTTGTTATTCAATTTAATAATTTAATAGATTTACATGACTATAAGAACTTATCTAATGTTTGCACTACCTGATTTGTCAGTTTGTATTTCTCTGTATAACAGGTTATACAGATGTCTTATAACCTGCTAGTCATGCTGATATGATCACTATTACAGATATCCTAATCCAATTATTAATAACAATTGCTATAATATAAATATTATATAAATGATTATTCAAATTTTCATCATTGATGAAATTTGAACATCTAATTTACCACTTGGAAGGTTGATAATCTGATTACTTTACTAGGTCATTATATTCTCAAATTAGTTTTATATTAATAAACTTATTATACTAAATATGTATATATAATTTTGTTTAATAACAACTATTATGTTGTTATCTGAATATTTCATATTATTGATAGTTGTTTTTTTTTATTACTTGTTGCTTAAAATTCTTAATAAAACTTAATAAAAAAATAATACATTACAATAGCTTATACAAAAATATCAAGCTGTAATTACTAAACTTCTAAAATATTGTTAAAAAACAAATATATAGTATATTTTAGCAATAGTGTTAGATTCATAATATAATTTTTAGTATTTTAAAAAATACAAAATAGTTATTGCAACTTATTAACTAAATTAAAAATATATTAGTTTATAATTTGTAATATAAAATATATAATAAATATAATGACTTAATTAATAAATAATATATTATTTTATAATATTAAAAATAAATACAAAAATTAATATGCATCTGTTTTTGATCAAAATATAGTAAACTCAATTGCTAAAACATTTATAATAAATATAATATAAAGAAAAGTTAATAGAAATAAGACAAATTTATTAAATAAATTTGTTATATTTCTACTAACTTTCTTCATATTATAAATTTACAAACAAATCTATATTAAATATTAGAGCAAGCTTAATATATACTTAAATGTATTACTAATAGATTTACATATAAATATTCTAAATTGGTAATGAATAAATGAAGCTAATTATCCAAATTTTTAATATTTATTAGAAACTGTCTTCTAATACTTGTTACAAGTATTTAAATAAACAAGCTTTTAATATTAGTAATAATATAATAACTAAAAAATAGAATTAATTAAATAAAAAGATAAGGAGTAATAACTTAATAAAATAAATAAGTTGTCATTCTTTTAAGTAGTAGGTTGTGAGTTCAAAACTTATTAATAGCAAAATTTGAATAAACACCTATGTAATATATAGATAGTATTATAGTAACAATATTCTGTCAATTAGTTAGAATAAGATACTTGTAATTATGATTATATTAGCATGACTGGCAGGTTTAAAGCATTTGTATTATCTAAATTACACAAAAGAATACAAACTGATATCAGATAATACAAACCTTAAATAAGACTCTATAGCTATATAAATCTGTAGAACTAAAAAGCCAGAGCTTACTTAAAAATTCTGAGCAAAAAGGTAGCATAAATTTTTAATAGTACTGCTATAAAAGCTAGACTTAGGAAATAAACACTAATGTAGAAAAATTGAATAAGCAAAAACCTTAGGTTAGAAGTACTACCAACCAGGTTACCAGATTTCAAACCAAAGAAAAAAGATATTGGGTCAGTCTTAATATACCAAGAACAGATCATAGTCCTTT